GTCGTTTCATAAAGTTCCCTTTTAGTCTGGAAATGTTCAGATTGCCGGCTTAGCTGAACATTTGTCACATTGTGCATTTGGCTCTCAAAAGCCACTTCCAGGAAGCCGTAAACCAAACAGTACGAGCATGACTGCAGATTCCACTGCTGTTGGCCTGCTCTTTTCAAGCTGTGCAGGAAGGAGGTAGCTCTCGGCACAAAGAGACTGTGCATAAATCTATTGCCGCCACTGTTGCAGCTCGCTTTCTTTATTTCTCTCTCTCTCTCTCTCTTTCTATATATATATATGTATATATATATATACATTGCCGCGACTGAGGCGGCGTGGCCCAATGGATAGGGCGTCTGACTTCGGATCAGAAGGTTGTGGGTTCGAGTCCCATCGTCGTCAGACTTGCAGTTTTGCAAGCTAATAGCGGTTCCTACTGGCATTGCTTGCAGCCTTGCCTATTAAAATCATTCGGGAATTTAGCTAAAGAAGGAAACACCCAAATGGTTGCTCCGGATATGCATACTGTTGCCAGCATTACCGAAGAGTAGATGCCTCATAAATTGACGCCAAGCCGCTGAATGCTCAGCACGTAATAGAAAACGGGAAACCCTACAGCAATTCTCACATGATGGGCTGGCAAATGAACACTGGACACCCGGCTAGAGGACTACAGAGTATCAGCAAGCTTAGAAAGGTAATAGCGCCTGTCTCATAGCACCTGTCTCTGAATGCTTCTCTCGCGGAGGAATCCTCGCTTAATATGCAGGCTGGTCGAATGCAAAAAGTGTTGTTACTAAAAGACAGGTTGACTTGCAGGGTATAGGAAGCTCGACGGACTTACAAATTGGAAAAAGGAACAATATCAGAGTTGTGAACTGGCAGTCTATCCTTAATGAGGTTGACTTGCAGGGTATAGGAAGCTCGACGGACTTACAAATTGGAAAAAGGAACAATATCAGAGTTGTGAACTGGCAGTCTATCCTTAATGTCGGGTAATACTCGGTTTAAAAATAAAATCTTCGATAAGCTCAACAGCCATACAGACAGCTGAATCATTTCCTCTTCCCCCAAATAGTCCTTTACATTCATATAAACAATCTTTTGAAGCATTGAAACGGAGTCACGAGGAGGGAGGAGTCGGATGGCTCACTGTGGAACTCAACAAGTAGAGCATTACACTGCCGATCTGTAACGTGTGCGTCAAACACCCACCCGTATTTAAAGCTAATCTATCCGTACCCACTAATTCTTTTCTCCGACAGTACGATCTGCCTTTTCACCAAAAATTACCTCTCAACTTCTTTCAGGCCTCTATTTAGGAGGCTCTAACTTACTACCCGTAGCGCAAAGCTACTACAGCAGCCCTCCTGCGCTATGAGAGCCCTAGAGTCATGTGAATAACTGCCTCTTAGTACTTTTAGCCGAGCCTCCCGCCGCTGATCGCGAAGACTGCTGGATCACCTGGTGGAGGCTCGGCTAAAAGGAATAGCTAGATTGATACGTCGCAATCTATCAGGTATACAGCTTCAGGTATCTTGTTCGCTAGCACCTCTTGACATTGAACGCAACACTGAACTCGCACAATGTTGACTCAAACAAAGCTACAGCAGTAGCAATCACCTCTTCCCACTTCATCACTGAGCCACACGTTGCCTGGTGACCAGGGCGTTTCCTTGATCGCCCGGTTGCCTTTCCTGGCGATACTACCTAAATTTATGGTTTCCAAGCACCATACTTCTTTTAAAGCTGTTGAAATCTTGACTTAACCGACATTTCTGTCTACAAAGTAATCTACCCGAGCAGCCACAGCCGCAGGAGCAGCTGTTGCACAAGAACAAGCATGAGGAATGCTGCCAGTACAGCAACGCGGGACATTCGTCTTGCCTCAGAAGCTGCAGAAGCAGTTTATTGCATACTGTCAAATAACGTTTGCGTCTCCTATAA